ACACACACACACACACACACACACACACACACAGAGCGGTGTAGACTTTCAAAGGGACAGAACATGGCGACTTTGGTGCTGAATTAAATGATTTTCTTGCATCTTTTCAGAGGGGGAAAAAGGTGCTTCTGTCTTAAATATGCGTTAACTGCACAACATTATATATATTTAAAAAAAAATTTGGAGAAAACAAAAACCACTGACAACTGACTGGGTATTTTCTGGACCTTCTTGTCCATCATCAGTCAAAAGGAAAAGGAGAATCAAGGAGTGGAGAAGGATCCGCAATATCTGAATCATTAACCGTTTCTCCAAGTACTGCATATGACAACAGCAATACCGGTGAGAGGGGGTTGGGGGACTTTTAAGACAAATTAGTGAAACAAAGTTTCCAAACTGTCTTCTGAGTAAAACTACGCACATAAAGGTAAGTAACTAGATCCATGAACAGGAGGGTTCACAACAAACTCCACTAAAAATGAAGACCAACATGTGCTGCTTTTCAGGAATCATGGAAGGCAAAAACAGGATACCACTGTCTAAAAGCTGAGGCTAACACAGTCAAAGTGGACTCTAATAATGTGGCCATGTTTGTTTAATCAGTTCGAGGACCAGAACAAGTAGCTTCACTGCACTGAAAGTTCACACTAAGATGCTTTAAGACAACAGATCTGCCAAGGTCAAAAGGAGAGAAAACCAAACACATGTTGATCTTCTACTTATTCTGATGTTGTGCTTTCTCATCTCTTCCTGCAGGTGGAACAACTTGTAGTACTTGCACAGCAACTTTGTATCAAACTAGTGTGCTGACAGATTATTGGGATTTAATATCAACATTGAGCTGCAATGCCCAGTTCTCTTGGTGTTGGGTAACAGAGGACTGAAGTTCATAGCCAATGACTGTTCCGTCTTGAATCAAAGACAACCTTTTTTGACTCCACCCCCAATAAAAGTGGAAAATTCCGCTCCACTAAATCAGTTGTTACTATGCCCAGTTCGTCTCTTCCCCACAGAAGCATCACAGCTGAATTAACAAGCCATTTGTCAAATTAAACAGGCCAAGTTTCCTCTTCTAACAGAAAAAGAAAAGGTTCTTTGGTGAAACACATAGGCAGACATACATATGTAATGAACAGAAAAGGCAAAGATTACACAAAACACAGTGATGTAAAGATCGACTCATTTGAGCTTTAGATGCCCCCTTTAGTAAATACAAAGCTGAAGGTTCAACATTCTCAGTTTGTCCGCCATTTAAATTGGATCCAAAAAAAGAAAACATAAAAACAAATCCAACTCATTATCATCACTGCTGAGGACACGTTTTATTGCCCCGAATCAGTTTTTGGTGTAGTGATGCCAAACACATCTATACACTACTACATGCTACTAACAAATTTGTGAAACCCAACCTATACTGAAAGGCAAGACAGCAAACAGAAAATATTCCACCCAGTTCCAGCTGACCTTCTTTTCTTATGACAAACAGGTGATGGCATGTTGACGTCGGACTAACCAGATCTGAGTGGACAAACAAAAATGCAACAAGTTGATAAAAACGTAAACCTATCACATGGCAACTGTATTTCCACTAATTGTCTGGTTCATGTTTTCTATTCTATTTAACCTATTTCTACACAGCACCACTTCCAATTCAAAGGTAACCTGTCTGATCAGATACTGAGGCAGGACTGTGCTTCTCTGCCACACCCAGTACAAAACAATGTTTCAAGTTTACAAAAGCCACCCCAGATCAATCCCTCCTGAGCATCCCTTAGCGGCTGAAATGTAGCTTCAAAGAGTGAAGACTGGCGTCTGCAAATCCTGCCCAGTCTCTGAGTGGAAATGGCTAACATTGTTCAAAAGGGTCAGCAGAGGTGGATGTGAAACACATTCACAAAGAAGCACACAGCAAACACTTCCTACATCGTCTCCTCTTTTCTCAGTGATACAGTTCGACAGCAGCGTTTGCTTTATCTCTCAGTGGATTTCTGAAAAGATTCTCTTTTTGTCCTCCGTCATCAGGATTTTCTCCAACCCTCCGGCTCTCTCCCTTTGTGTATGACTTTACCTGTGGTGCTGTTGTGACTTTGACTCCCTGCCCTCTTCTCTCCGTATCGCTCTCTTCATAGACTCATGTCCGTCTTGTCCCCTTGACGTCCCCATGGCCGCTAGTTTCAGCTTACAGCCGACAGAGGCAGAACAGTGTGGGGATGAACACCCCAAACGCCACAAGAATGGGAAACATGAGGCTGCTGTTGTCAGCCGCATAAGGGTTTGGTGTTCGGGGGCCTGACTGGACCTTGTTCTTAGAACCTGGTGGGACCTTTTTCTTCCCATCTTCATTGCCTCCTTCTGTATCTTCCTCTTCTTCCTCCTCTTCTTCAGGCTTCAAGCCAGGGTGAGGCTGAAGTTTTGGTACATCTGTCAAGTAAAAAAAAAAAAAAAAAAAAAAAAAAAAAAAAAAAAAAAAAAATTAACAAGAGAATATGGGGGGAAGTTAGTCACACAGAAAGAATCTGGTTGTGTCTTAGCAGTGGTATAAACTACTATATGAAAGTGTTGAACCAGACTCTGGAACTACTCAGTGCACTGAGTTTTTATCCCAAATGCATTACAGTTCAATTCAGTTTTATTTGTATAGCGCCAAATCACAACAAAAGCCATCTCAGGACACTTTACAAAGTAAGGTCTAGACTTCACTGTTGTTATTATTTAAGGCTGCCCCCTAATAGCGGGCTAGTCGAGTCTTTAATCAAGAGACCCATCAGTCGACAGACTATTCTAATCGAGCCTTTGCTTTTATTTTATTTTTTGTTAGTCAGTGTGCATTAAAATAGAAGGCAGCCCAAGCCCAGCAGTTTGTCATCATCTTATTCTCGTTCTGGTGTGCTTCCTCCCATATCTATTTAGTAAATTACAGAATGGGGAGAAAAGGGCAACAAAACTGCATAAAGGTGAGATATGCACTTTATTAGAAGGGTTTCCAAACATTGTGGTCTTTTTTTTTTTGTAAAAGAGAGAAGACTGCAGCCACTGAACCATGTAGCTGGTTTTGCATAGCCTAATGTCACTGTATGGGAGTCTGGTTTGTTTACCCATATCAATTATGGGATGTTTGCAGTCGCACAACTCACCTTCTAATGTCCCCTTCATTACATAGAGAGCGCAGATCTTGGGGTTATCATAATAACCCTGAAACACAAAATATATCAGCACACACAGCAGAAAAAAATGTTGCCAAATATTAGTGATTATTATACATTATCAATATTCTTAATACATATTATGTATTTATGAACAAAGTTGTGGTGTGATAGCACACTGCAGTGATGATTAAGTTGGATAACTGTGTTCAAAAGCTAAATTACAGTGGGTACGGAAAGTATTCAGACCCCCTTAAATTTTTCACTCTTCCCAAAAAGACTCATGGCTGTATTAGCTCAAAAGGGTGCTTCTACTAAATACTGAGCAAAGGGTCTGAATACTTAGGACCATGTGATATTTCAGTTTTTCTTTTTTAATAAATCTGCAAAAATGTCAAACATTCTGTGTTTTTCTGTCAATATGGGGTGCTGTGTGTACATTAATGAGGAAAAAAATGAACTTAAATGATTTTAGCATATGGCTGCAATATAACAATGAGTGAAAAATTTAAGGGGGTCTGAATACTTTCTGTACCCACTGTAAGTGATAAAACTTCAGGTACAAAAAAAAAAACTTCCATCAGTCAACTATGACCCATGCTTAAGATGGTGCTCAAACAATCATTAACATGCCTTCCTTCTTTGTTTTCATTGGAAAATGATCACATGGTGTGCCTAAGAAGATGAAAGAATCAACATCTGGTACAGGTGGCTTTCATTTGAATAAAGAGTGCAAAACAAAAATACCTAATCTGCCATTTCATTGGTTAAATAGCTTTAATTATTTAAAAAAAGAACAGCGTGTATGTTACATGTATCTTTTTAGAAGATACATGTAACATTTGCATTTTTGCAGAGAGGTCTGGGGAGCTATTTTTAAAAAGTTACTGCATAAAACCTTTTCTGAAGTATGCCATCCTACATGTTTAGCCTACAACCACGCTCTATGAACTCACTAGAAAAATCTTTCATTTGCTACAACCCAGGGCTTAAAGGGAATACTAACCATGTCAGAAGAACAAACGGATTACAGTAACCTCATTAATGTTAGTGAGTGGTTTCCAAACAAAACCAAAAGGTAATCTCTCTGACCCTTATATCTTTCTGTTGGACGTAGTGATGTAAAATTGGACTAAGTAAAGTATGTATCCAACAAGTGTTGACTGGATAACTGTAACTGAAAGTCATTCTGTGACAATAACAATGTAGACTTAATAACACACTGTAGTTTGGGGTAGTTTTAAAAGTATTCCTAGCTACAGTGAGTTCTTCCAAGTATACAGATACAAGGTCACCCGTCACCCTCCACTCCACACTACACTACAATATGACAGTCAATAGACAATAATGCCAACAGTAGCGCAAGTACAGCATGATAGTACCATATGGTGTTGTATTGATTACAAGTTGAACATACAGGAAATTTAATACCCCACATTGTGTGAAATAACTAAAAAGCAAAACAGTGATGTTGGAGACATGTCAAAACAATTATAGATAACATATACATAACAGATTTTTTGGATACTGTAAAGTCTTTTCCTAAACCACAATGACAAGAAACCATATTTCTCTATGTGAAACGGAAACAAAGCCAAGTGACCACTCACTTGAAGGAGTACTGTGGTGCCAACTGGAGAGAAAAATAATAGCAGCAGTACACAACATGTGAACAAATATGATAAAGGCAAATCCAGATCTGGGACCTGAGTGCCTTTTGTTAGTCATTTGTATGGCTGTCAGCCACTTTCAGACATGGAGATCATTATGTAAATCTGCTGCCAGTTTTTCATGAGAGTCATGGTGGCCATCGAACCTAGTAACAATTCTTTAACACTTCCAAACAGGCTCAGGTCTGAAATAAATGCAGGCCTGTGCTCGTTAACAAAATAAAACGTTATATGTCAAAACCTTCCTTCTGATAGGCCATATTTAAACAGTAATTTTTGTTTAGTTTTGTTTACTCTAATAATCTGTCATCACGTAGCTATCTATTGTTATATTAAAACAATTTAAAAAATTAAAAGATAAAAAAAATCCCTCCACTGTAAAAACAGTGGAGATGTTTTCAGTTCCATTTCAGTTAAGAGAAAAAAAAAGACAAAATGGACAATTTCCTTATGTCAAAATTTCCAAAAAGAAAAATTGCTTTTACTTCTCAGAATGAAAAACTAATTTCTCAGCCAAGTCAAGTAAAAATAGCTCACCTTTACAAACTCTACAGTGAGTTTGCCATTGAAAGTAGACACCTCGTCTCGCACACTCAGCTTGCCACGTCGAATAGAGAAAGGCACGATCTCATCATGAGCAGTACTGTGACCCACTCGCTCAAAGATATCCAGGTCCTTCACCACCACATGGCCATTTAGACGGACATCAAACACCTAGAAAAACCATTCCCATATCAGCAATGATTAACACCACCCCCCCCCGTTCACGGTGCCGTCAATAGAGTACACTGGTGTGTGTTCAAACTCCCGGAGTACTATCTGTACAAATGTGTACAGTGGAATATGTATTCAATACAAAGAATGGCATGCCTCTTATACTAGATATGATCTGTATGAAAAACAGTATATTCAATCAAGATTAAATGATGCATATTTTGTGTGTGCACAATGACAGATGACAATCACAATGACAGATGACAATAACAATGACATACCTTTTGCTGTGACTGGGCAAAATAAACTTCTGCATACTTCATAACTAGTATATAATCTCCTTCCTCACGAATGGGAATATCATATCCAAAAGTGTCCTCATTGTATCGCTCTGTCTGGTACAGAACCTGGTCTTCTGGACTGGAGCGCAGTATTGGCAAACGCATCCCATAATCAGATGCTACAAAGGAGAACAGCATCAGGCTTAGTGTGCACTTTTGCTCACAAGATCATAGGAATAGCTGAATTACTGGGAAACTGACTGTTTTCAGTCAAAGCACCACATTTTTGTTTCAAATGGCAAGTTAGCACACTGTTCCCACCCCAGCTTGCTATTACAGTATCTCTGCCTTGTAAGTGGAGCCAGAAAGGACTCTCTGGTGTCAATCTAATCATGACTCCACCTGCTTCCTCTACATGCTGAGGGGGGCGGAGCCCTAGTCCCCTATGCTGACTCTTCATTAGTTTGTGGTTACCTGCGGAAACGGAACCATGCAGAGGTTTCTGATTGAAATGTCTGTGACTAAGGGGTACAGTCCTTGCCTTTACCTCAACAAAGACACTGTCAAAGCACGCATATTAACAGTTTGATAACATCAACTCACCTTTACCGACTTTCCCTTCCAATGGATCCTTTTTAAAGTGAATACCGTGGACGTCTACGTGTGCTTCACCACCGGCATTTACAGCCCAGATAACACGCTCAGTGAGGCTAGGGCCCCCGCCGTCCGCCCAACACTGCTCTGCCAGCAGCGCCAGCACCGCTGCCACCAGCCCCGCGACGAGGTGCGCCGTAATCCGCTGCATTGCTATACACAGCCTGGTCCTAGACACAGAGACAGTCGGAGTCGGTATCTGCTTGCATATAGCATAGACTTAATCTCGGTATGGAAATAAACCTTTTACACAGTACATTACCACATACGGTTAGCTAGCAAGCTTGTCTAGGTGATATGCAACATAGTATCTGTCAGTTAACAAATACTGCTAACGTTAACAGTACCAGAAGCGGGCAACACCGGGAGTAGCTTTAGCATGAAAGCACACAGACCCAGAAGATGAAGTGAAATTTTGAACAAAAATTCTGTCTTAACGTTACAAGTTCACGAGCTACAGTTCATTAGTCAAACATCAAAAATAATAGCGAGAGTCTGTCTGGCTAGCTAGCTACCTGTCCAACCAGAAATACTTGGTCTATGAGAGCCCGGCTAACGTTCATGCAAATGAAAATGTCACGTACCCTCTCTCCTTACACCAATCTCTTCAGCCTATGTTTTGCCACTGCGTACACTTATCTCTGCCGACACAGTTCCCACAGGTGCCTATGCTGTACACTGAAAGACAACTTTACTAAGTGCAGATATTTTTAGTCGCTAGTGGCCTCAGCCTGCTATGCTGAATTTCATTCAATGTGTGCATCAAACTAACATCAAGCCTGCCAGCTACGGCGTCTGCGTCTGCCAGTTTGTAAAAGGCGGAACAGCGCTACCTAACACCGACTTCCTTATGAGTGACAGAAGCTCTGCCGAATCAAACCCTCCCGTTAAGGACACCTTTCTTCTTCTTCCTTGGTACGGCAGTCTAGACGCAGCAAAGGCGCATTGCTGCCCTCCTCAGTTTTAAAGTCCTCATGGTCATATTATCTCATCCAGCCTATATCTGTTGACATAGTTTAAGGATTTATGTGCCATCCAACACCATTGTCATATCATAGACAAATCACATCCTACTTTGTTATACAAATTAGGTTTTCATTTACTATGAATATCACAGGTCAGAATATCACAGGTGATTGTGAAGATTTTATACCTACACAGCAGTTTGTGTACACCCCCTCAAGACAGACAGGAAATCTAACGCGATAATAATCATTAACCAAGAGTTAAAGATTACCATCCACACTGTGAAGCTAGTTCGTTATTAAGTTTAGGGAAAAAGTTAGAAACCCAGGGCAAACTTCTATAAAGGCATTATTATGTTAAATGCATCTATCTATCTATCTATCGACCGATCTACCGATCTATTTAATAGCGTATATGTATCACTCTGGACCATAAACTGTATATAGCAGTGCGCATGGAATAATCGGAGCTAGCTGTTCTACTCACACAACTGAGGGTTAGATATCTCCAACATTACATTTCCTATTTCCATTCATTTTTTTTAAAGGTTAGTAATACACGTGTTGTTTAAGAAATCCTCACTCACCCCTCCTTCCGGTATGGTATGGTCCGACTTTTGTCCAATCAGGAGAGCCCAACGCAGCGCGCACACTCGATACTTGACCAGAAAGGAATGAATGAAGATAGTTACTATGGAAACAGCAATACCTCCGTGGATGACAGGTGTTTCATGACTGCTTTTTTACCTAACACAGCGTTGGTAAGCACTAGTTAACTTGTTTGCTTCAGCTCGAGCTGTAGATTTATCAATATTTGAAGTACATTAATAGAACCCAGTCATGATGAACAGGCCATATGTGCAGTCATTTGTTTTTGTCAGCTTGATGCTGCTACTTCCAACAATGCTTCTCCAGAAGTGGCCCAGAGGCAGCAGTTACTATACTAGTGTAGCTTTAACGTGGGTGTTACTGTGCTTGCAACAATCTCTTCTATTCTTTTTAGATGAAAACAGTCCTGCACTGACAATTTTAGTGTTTATGTGTCATTTTAGCAGTTTTGCATTATTTTACTCAGATGTTTGTGTGTTACCAAATAGTTTTAGCTGGAGTATAACAGCAAAATAAAATTAGCTATTGTAGCTGCTTGTAAATAAGGGCATGTCTTTATAGTAGGCTTTATGCAACTGTGTAACAACATCATGTTTTTTTGTATTAGGCTATATATAACTACCAACCATGTTAACAAATCTTCTAACAAAGCTGCATTACTCAAAGGTCACACAGGGACAGTTATTTTCAGATGATGACTTGCACAGTGTTTCAGCAGGGAAAATGTACTAGCCTGCAGTTCTTCCAAAGACAAATACTAGATACTATGAAAAGGTTTGTCCTCATGGCATGCAGTGACAGCACACAGTGTTACACTAGTATGGTGATCACGACATTTTGACAAGAATTATAGACTCAGTAAAGATTAAGAGGTAGTTTTTAAGGTCCATACCAAAACAATCAGTGGTCAGTGTGTGGTAGCTGCATTTCCATTTGATGTCTAAATAACTAACACAGAGCCATTTTCTATGTTGCTCCTTTTACAATTTCACCACAAAACAGGGGTTCAAATTTAAACACCTTTTATTTATGTATTTATTTATAATTAACTTGGCAAAGTATTTTGTTTACATGTTAGACAAAAATGCAAATGTGCATACTGAATTTAATAAATCTCTCTCTTTGGCATGCATAAAAATTGCTTTGACAACACAGATGTGTGGAACATTACCACAACTACAATCATATTGACAATGAGATACATTACAGATACGACATAATCACATCCACTGTAAAGACACTTCACATATGTCATTCATACTGTATGATCTCAGACAGGGAAATTTAGATTTTTAAACTTTATTTGCTCCCAAAGCTGGACTAAAAGATCTGGGAATTCAGCACTGAGCACTGAGAAACAGCCCACACTACAAACTATAGCGGGCTAGTGTCAGTGAGCACTTTGGTTCTCTGGATTTAGGCTTTGAAAAAGAGCTATGTGTCTCTGTAAACGGCATTTCATCTGCCCTGGATCTAAGACCATATCTAATAGCATGCTATATATGAAATGTATTTCATATTTCTATTTCTCCTGATCAGAGATCTGCTTTTTCATTGCATCTAGAGCTCGATGGTGATGCTTTTCTCAGACTGGACTGGCACGGTGAAAAACCACAGATGGACAAACAGTTATGACACAGGTGTGATATTGCCACACGGGTTCCTTAGTGGAGCACCAATGTCACATAGAGGATGTTCCACTTACAGTTTCTAATATTAAGATGTGAAAACATACAGTGCACTGATCTTTCACATCTTTTCTACAGGCATTCCCTCTTTCATCCTGACTTTGTTGTATATCAAACGTGACATTTAATAATGTTTTTTATAGGATGAGACGAGACTCCGCTGATACAGTATATCCACACAGGAAGTTATTTAGTGAGAATTAAAGTGCAAAAACAAAAGTTGGACAATCATCAGCTAGGCTACAGCAATTTCTGCCTCAGTTGAACTGGAGACTTTTCAAAGTGTGATTCAAAGTGTGAGGTGACTCATCGCTCCGTAACATTCAAGAAGTTTTCATTCCAGTGTCATTCAGATTTGGATGGCTCAGAAGATCTTAGCAAGTCCTCTGTTGTACTTGGTCAAGTATAGAGAAGAACACAGCTTCACATTCAGGACCATTTTATGGTCTTAGCGAGACATCATCCGCACAAACTCTGTAAAAAGAGAGATGACAAAATGCAAAAACTGCACCCCACTTTTCAGTACATCTTAAATAAGTAGTCTGAATCCTGATTTACCTTCAAAGTCCACAAGCCCATCACCATTCAAGTCAACATCCCTTAGGATATCTTCCACCTCCTTTAGACCCACCTGGAAAAAAAAAACAGATGAAAGAAATGAGTGGAGCAGCACACACAAAGATTATTTATACAAGATTTTTGAAGCCTCCACATCTTACCTGCTGGCCCAACAGCTTCCTCATTGCGTCTCGAAGCTCAGTTGTGCTTATGGCACCATCCCCATTAGTGTCAAACTGAGAACAAAAAGCAGACAATTGTCATTAAAAATGAAAAAACAAATAGTAAAAATCTGAGAACATGACCAGTGCCACAGAAACCAGTTACTCTTACCTCTCTAAATGCATCTTTTAGCTCTTTTATTCCTATCATGTCTGCGGTTTCAGCGAGGAGTTTTGGGCCCATCAACTCTACAAAATCTTCAAAATCAACATGACCTCCCACTTGAGAAAAAAAGATTTTGGCACAGAATTTAAAAACACAATACACACACACAGGATACAGTTATATGCAAGACATATATGTTTACATGTATGTCATATAGTTAAAGTCCTTACAGTTCATGTTTATCTGCTGGCTCAGTTCAATCAGCTCCATTTCAGTGGGCATGTATCCCATGGTTCTCATACAGTTTCCTAAGTCCTTACAGCTGATGAAACCATCCTTGTCCTTGTCAAACTCTTTGAATGCATCCCGTAATTCTGTTGAGCAATAACAGAATTATCATTACTAACTGAACTATATGGCTCTCATTGTACTTACATATTATTTTGAACATATAGAATCACATTCTGGCACCACAAGTTAAACCTTGACTTTATTTTTATTTTATTTTACTTGACAAACATGCTGTTTAAACATTTTAAAATTCATTTTTGCTTCACTGCTTAACTACACTGATAAAAACAAAGAACATAAAGCAAGCCCATCTTACCATCCATTTCTTCTGGCCGCAGCTCTCTGTCCTGTTAAGAAATAAAATTTACTAACTGGTCAGGACAAGAACAAATTTACAGCACATGGAAAAGCAGTCGTGATCCCACATCAAAACAAACACTCTTCTGCATTTGAGATACATGCGGACATACCACTGACAACGCTGTGACTCGAGTGAAGCCCAAACCCACATCAGCAATCTTCTCCATAACAGTCCTTAGCTTCCTCGTGAAACTTAACTTTAGCAAAAGATGTTAACACTAGACCCCAACTATCTCACATCTAGATGAAAAACCCTCCAAATATAAACAGGCCAATTCCAATCAAGCATGACTGGGAGCATAACCTTCAAGTTCACAGAAGAATGTTTCTATTTTTTCATGGCTTGCTTATAATAAACACAACCTTTAAAGGACAGCAAGAGAGAGCAGACGTAGCCCAGAGCCCTCAGGGGGTTAACAGCAGGAGCAATGAGAAGTTTAAACACAACAGCGAGTGCTGACGTCGAGCTCAGTGATCCGAACCACAGGAAACACAGGAGGCACGTGAGCCCATGCACACCACCATGAGCATTTCCTGTGTCCATCACTGTCAGTTTATCATCCATCATCCCTTAAACTGACATGTCCCAGGCCTGATCATTTTGCTCATATACGTAACTGTGCAAAAACCCCATTACAGTGTTGTTTTCAGTGAAACAAAGTATTAATGCAATTCACCTGCCTTTGCCCTACACTGATTGTTCAGCAACCACACATAGAGATGTGTGGGGTGTATAAATGGGGTTGTAGCTGAGCAACAGCTAGTTGCTCTAAAAGGAATTGGTCGATATTTTGGGGAAAATGCTTATTAGCTTTTTTGAAAGTTAAGTAAGAAGCTACATAAAGCTCCTGGTCAGCTTAGCTTAGCATAAATATCAAAAACAGCTAGACTGACTGATAAATAATGTAATAAAATCGACCTACTAGTAGTTCTAAAGCTCACCAATTAATGCCATATCTCATTTCTTTACTCAAGAGATATGATGACCTGACCCCGAGAAAGTAATTGTGCCTAGCCTTAAAACCTTTTGGCATAGAGCTGGTTGTAAAACCACACTTTTTCATTTTTATCTTACAGTTTTTGAACAGTTTAAGTAAACAAAATATAACATGAACACTGGTGAGCTGGTAGGTGTTTTATGTTTAACCTTTTGGACAGAGCTCTGCTGTTTGTCTCAGTGGCGCTTAGCTAAACCTCTGCTGGCTCCAACTACATACAGTATTTACCATACTGATAACGAGAGTGGTAGCCAGTGCAAAGTAAAATGCATTTCCAAAAATACTAAATTATTTATTTCATATTTTGTGCACTGTTATGTGTATCTGAGAGAGGCAACAAGTGGGCTAAAGCACCGGCACAGCTGCATCAGTTTAACCATTTATCCTGTTTAAGCCTTGAGGGATGGAAACCACTGGTCTGCTGTTGGCCTCATAGGCATTGATTCACAAGATCCTAAACACTATTGTGTCCATTTGTCATCTTATTTCAATTCATGTTCCAAAGCTGTATGTTCACTGACATATGGCAAGATACCAGTCAAAAGCTGCAAAGTGGAAAAACCAAGAAATGATGATGCAAAACAGGATGATACAGTAGCTTGTTTGATAAAACTAGACAGAAACTGATAAAAGGTGTTTGTCCAGACTTATGTACAGCCTGTCTGCACTTGGCCAAGCCTCTACACAGGAAGACATGGCTTTGCCCAAGCATGTTGCTCACAAGAATTCATTTTATTTCACAGACACAGTGGAGTAGTCCTGATAGGATGCAAGATATTCTGCCTGGCCCATTTCCTCATGGGACTGCACATCTCTCTTCTCAGCATCCTGGAGCATCTTTCCAGAGGGGTGGAGAGACAGTGTTTGATCGACAGAGGCTTCAGAGCAGAGTGGTACAAACATCCAAGCTGACAAAGGATGTCTGCCAGTTTAGACTCTTTGTATTGTGGAAAATAGGTAATAGATTAAATATTTTCCTGTTACCAGACAAAACTCTACTTCTCAGTATGTGTGTGTATTCTTGTACTTGCTGTACAGTGAGACAAAAAAAGAGTATTTCTTTGCTACATAGTGAGGACATTATTGGAAAGTGAGGACATTTTGGCTGTTCCTCACTTTCTGAAACAACTTTTTGAGAGCAGACCCACCAAGGCTGGAGACTGAACAGTTCTGGAAGAGCATATGGGAGAAGGAGGCATCACATAACAACAATGCCCAATAGCTGGTGGACCTGAGAGCAGACCACAGCAATCTCCCTGAACAAGACCCAGTTATCATCACAATGGCAGACATTCAAGAGAGGATCTTTTGTATGAAGAGGTGGACAGCACCAGGCCTTGACGTGATCCACGCCTACTGGTTAAAGAAGCTAACTTCACTCCATGAGCGCCTGGTAGGACAAATGAACCAGCTACTAATGGATGGAACCCACCCTGAGTGGTTAACTGAAGGCCGGACAGTCCTGATCCTGAAGGACCCTCAGAAGGGAGTGGTACCATCCAACTACCACCCAATAACCTGCCTCTGCACAACATGGAAGCTCCTGTCAGGCACCATAGCAGCTAAGATGGGCAAGCACATGGCTCAATACATGAGCAGGACCCAGAAAGAAATTGGTAGTAACACCAGAGGAGCAAAGCACCAGCTACTGGTTGATAAAGTAGTCACTCAAGACTGCAAGACCAGACATACCAACC